AGGCTGCGATAGAGCGGTCCAGCGGGTTGGCAGAGGAGGCTGCCAGGTTACGGGGGCCACTGGTCGAAGAGGGGATGGAAGGTGGAGAGGCACGGCGAGAGGTACTGGGGTGTGTTACCAGTCCGGTCCGGCCCGTTCCAGATCCCGGTGTAGGGCCAGTGGTGTGTGTCCCCAGTACGGTCCGGTCTGTTCCTGCTCCCCGCACCAAGTCTGTGGTGCGTTTCGTCAGCCCTGTCCGGCCCGTTCCTGCTCTCCGCACCAAGTCTGTGGTGCGCGTCGCCAGCCCAGTCCGGCCCATTCCTGCTCCCCGCACCAAGTCTGTGGTGCGTCTCGTCAGCCCGGCTCGGCCCGTTCCTGCTCCCCGCACCAAGTCAGTGGTGCGCTTCGTCAGCCCGGCTCGGCCCATTCCTGCTCCCCGCACCAAGTCTGTGGTGCGTTTCGTCAGCCCGGCTCGGCCCATTCCTGCTCCCCGCACCAAGTCTGTGGTGCGTTTCGTCAGCCCTGTCCGGCCCGTTCCTGCTCTCCGCACCAAGTCTGTGGTGCGCGTCGCCAGCCCAGTCCGGCCCATTCCTGCTCCCCGCACCAAGTCTGTGGTGCGTTTCGTCAGCCCTGTCCGGCCCGCTCCTGCTCCCCACACCAAGCCAGTGGTGTGCGTCGTCAGTCCAGCACGGCCCGTGCCTGTTCCCCACACCAAGCCAGTGGTGTGCGTCGTCGGTCCGGCACGGCCCGTGCCTGTTCCACTGGTGCCTGGTCCGGCACCGGTCAGATGCGTTACGCCGGAGCTAGAGCAATCCGCTCCATCAGTGTGCAGTCCAGCTCCGGCCAGCGGGGCCAGACCGGACCAGGGGTACTTTGGGGGGTTGGAGAGGGAGTGGGGATCAGGCCCGGAGCCGGATCCGCCGCCAAGGCGGAGTGCCCACCCGGTCCCTCCCCTGTGGTATTTAGTTGGCGCGGTCGGAGTCCGCGCCTTTAGGGGGGGGTACTGTCACGCCCTGGCTCTGGGGACACTGTTATGTTGAGCCAGGGTGTGTATTCTATGTTTGTATTTCTATGTTGGCCTGAGTGACTCCCAATCAGAGGCAACGAGTGTCAGCTGGTTGTCTCTGATTGGGAGCCATATTTAACTGTCTGTCTTTCACTTTGTGTTTGTGGTTTCTTGTTCCGTGTTGGTTTGTGTTTAAACCGTAGACGTCACGTTTTCGTTTGTTGTTTTGATCGTGTGATCATTAAATAAATATGTTCACCTTCAACGCTGCGCATTGGTCTCTCCCTGACGATCGTGACAATATGAAATGTACCTTAGTGCCAAATAGAAATATATAATGTGAACGATAATGCCCTGGCAAATAAATTTGTTTTCACATCACAATGGCAATGCTACCATCAATAAAACTCTTGGTGGCAGAAATAATTTCATAATTAAATAGGAAATTAATGGAGCCATTGTTTGCTATCATTGGACACTGAATATATATATCACTATAGATGAGAACATTAGAAAAGGGAGCAAGCAGACAGGTATGTTGTTATAAGAATTGATGAGCCTTTATGAATACGGCTTATTATGTATCTTTATGTTTTCAACTGTAACACTTTTTTATCTTATTTTTATTTAATAGAGAACATATGTATACACTGGTATGATGCTGGAGAAAATGAATATGAGGTTAAAAAGTAGTGTAGTAACACTGTAATTACTACAGTGTTGTTGCATCCTAACTTAGTGATTGCGTTGTACTAATGGATTGAGCAGTTTTTGTAATTACACATGTTTAATGAGTAACAGTCCCGGTTTCTAAAAACGGCTTAATTTCATTTCTGTACAATTCTAATTAAATTACTGAAGTACAATATCACATATCAATACGATGTTGTTACTAGTGTAATAAGAGTTACACAGGTATAAGATCAATGTCATGTAAAGTGAGTAATAAAGGCTTACAATGTATTTCTAACCTGTGATCTCATAGGGCTGCTTGTTTTAGGACCTACAGTGAGGGAAGAAAGTATTTGATCCCCTGCTGATTTTGTACGTTTGCCCACTGACAAAGACATGATCAGTCTATAATTTTAATGGTAGGTTTATTTTAACAGTGAGAAACAGAATAACAACAACAAAATCCAGAAAAACACATGTCAAAAATGTTATAAATTGATTTCATTTTAATGAGGGAAATAAGTATTTGACCCCTCTGCAAAACATGACTTAGTACTTGGTGGCAAAACCCTTGTTGGCAATCACAGAGGTCAGACATTTCTTGTAGTTGGCCACCAGATTTGCACACATCTCAGGAGGGATGTTGTCCCACTCCTCCAAGTCATTAAGGTTTCGAGGCTGACGTATGGCAACTCGAACCTTCAGCTCCCTCCACAGATTTTCTATGGGATTAAGGTCTGGAGACTGGCTAGGCCACTCCAGGACCTTAATGTGCTTCTTCTTGAGCCACTCCTTTGTTGCCTTGGCCGTGTGTTTTGGGTCATTGTCATGCTGGAATACCCATCCACGACCCATTTTCAATGCCCTAGCTGAGGGAAGGAGGTTCTCACCCAAGATTTGACGGTACATGGCCCCGTGCATCGTCCCTTTGATGCAGTGAAGTTGTCCTGTCCCCTTAGCAGAAAAACATCCCCAAAGCATAATGTTTCCACCTCCATGTTTAATGGTGGGGATGGTGTTCTTGGGGTCATAGGCAGCATTCCTCCTCCTCCAAACACGGCGAGTTGAGTTGATGCCAAAAAGCTCGATTTTGGTCTCATCTGACCACAACACTTTTACCCAGTTCTCCTCTGAATCATTCAGATGTTCATTGGCAAACTTCAGACGGCCCTGTATATGTGCTTTCTTGAGCAGGGGGACCTTGCGGGCGCTGCAGGATTTCAGTCCTTCACAGCGTAGTGTGTTACCAATTGTTTTCTTGGTGACTATGGTCCCAGCTGCCTTGAGATCATTGACAAGATCTTCCCGTGTAGTTCTGGGCTGATTCCTCACCGTTCTCATGATCATTGCAACTCCATGAGGTGAGATCTTGCATGGAGCCCCAGGCCGAGGGAGATTGACAGTTATTTTGTGTTTCTTCCATTTGCGAATAATCGCACCAACTGTTGTCACCTTCTCACCAAGCTGCTTGGCGATGGTCTTGTAGCCCATTCCAGTCTTTTGTAGGTCTAAAATCTTGTCCCTGACATCCTTGGAGAGCTCTTTGGTCTTGGCCATGGTGGAGAGTTTGGAATCTGATTGATTGATTGCTTCTGTGGACAGGTGTCTTTTATACAGGTAACAAACTGAGATTAGGAGCACTCCCTTTAAGAGTGTGCTCCTAATCTCAGCTCGTTACCTGTATAAAAGACACCTGGGAGCCAGAAATCTTTCTGATTGAGAGGGGGTCAAATACTTACTTCCCTCATTAAAATGCAAATCAATTTATAACATTTTTGGCATGCGTTTTTCTGGATTTTTTTGTTGTTATTCTGTCTCTCACTGTTCAAATAAACCTACCATTAAAAGTATAGACTGATCATTTCTTTGTCAGTGGGCAAACGTACAAAATCAGCAGGGGATCAAATACTTTTTTCCCTCACTGTATCTTCTCTCTAATCCTAATATAGGACAGGACACTGCCATTTTACCCTTGAGTAAGGCACATAACCCCCCAAAACTCATCCAGGGGGGCTTCTCTCTCTGTGTGTGTGTGTGTGTGTGTGTGTGTGTGTGTGTGTGTGTGTGTGTGTGTGTGTGTGTGTGTGTGTGTGTGTGTGTGTCAGTGGTGGAAAAAGTACTCAATTGTCATACTTGAGTCAAAGTAAAGATACCTTAATAGAAAATGACTTAAGTAAAAGTGAAAGTCACCCAGTAAAATACTACTTCAGTAAATGTCTAAGAGTATTTGGTTTTAAATATATCTTAACTATCAAAAGTATAAATAGTTTCACATTCCTTATATTAAGCAAACCAGACGACACAATTTTCAATTTTTTTTAAATTTACGGATACCCGCGGCACACTCCAACACTCAGACATAATTTACAAACTAAGCATTTGTGTTTAGTGAGTCTGCCAGATCAGAGGCAGTAGGTATGACCAGGGATGTTCTCTTGATGAGTGTGTGAATTTGACCATTTTCCTGTCCTGTTAAGCATTTAAAATGTAACGAGTACCTTTGGGTGTCAGGTAAAAGGTATGGAATAAGAAGCGCATTATTTTATTTAGGAATGTAGTGGAGTAGTAGTAAAAGTTGTCAAAAATATAAATAATAAAGTAAAGTACAGATATCCAAAAAAACGACTTATCTAGTACTTTAAAGTATTTTTACACCACTGGTGTGTGTGTGTGTGTGTGTGTGTGTGTGTGTGTGTGAGAGAGAGAGAGAGAGAGAGAGAGAGAGAGAGAGAGAGAGAGAGAAGAGAGAGAGAGAGGAGAGAGAGAGAGAGAGAGAGAGAGAGAGAGAGAGAGAGAGTGTTGTGGTGTGGTGTGGTGTGTTGGTTGAGTACTGTGAAAGCAGAAAATAAAGAATTGCCATGCAAATTGATAAACTTAGATCTATTCTATTCTACTCTGATGCATTCCCCCTACCCTTATCCCTACATTCCCTACAACAATTATTGCTACTGAAAGTGTGGAATTTATTTTATATGCCTGAAACAATAGACACCCTGCCTGCCCTCTGTTTGGGTTACAGCCACAAAGCAGCCAGCTGCATTTTCCCCTCCATCCAATCAGCACAGCCCAAACAAGAGTCACATTTCCTCGTTCCTCTGTCCTTATATGGCAGAAAGTAGGCTGGGCTTTTCAGACTGGGGGACTCGTGGAAAATGGTGGCTTGGAAATACTGACAGCTTGTGTGAAGAGAAGAATAACAATAGCTTGACCTCAGGTAAAAATAATCAATGGCTTTGTATTATCTGTTGGGGGTTTATCTGAAAAGGAACTCTGTTAGGATATATTTAAGTCAAAAGGGAAATCAGTGGTTCATGATACATGTTTCTGGTTGGAGATACAGGAAATGAACTTGGTTAGACCAAAATGAATGTGATTTACTAATGGCAAATGGATCTGATCTCTGAATTGATGTAGATTGGCATGTGCCTTCATCATTTTGTTAACCTTTAGAAAAACTTGCCATGTAAAAGGAGGTCAATTATGTATTTAATGTACCCTGGAGACACACCCACTGGTCTTCCTGATTTCTTCATGAGGTGTCACTCAATAGTATTACGACTGTAACTTGATACCTGAAGCTAAAAGACTCACAGTGACATAATGCATGTGTGGAATGTAACTTGAGAACTAAGATGCCCGATTTTGCCTGCAGCATTAAAAGTAATAACATTGGAATTCTTCTGAAACATTGGTGATCCCCCCATCTACAAGAAAAACAGAAACAGTTCAGTTCATTGACTACCCTCACAACAGCCTGAGAGTGTCTGCTCTCTCTCTCCTTTCTCTTCTTCTTTCTCTATCTTTTTATCTCTCTGTCTGTGTCTATATCTCTCGTTCTCTTCCTCTCTCTCTCTGTCTGTCTCTCTCGCAGTTTGTCAAAGTCAGATGCTCACAGCGATGGCTGACGCAGGGCAGATCAGAAAGACAGCGGTCAAGGTGCTGGGCTGCGTGGAGAAGGTCTCCTCCTTCGCCTCGTCCATCAACCCCCTCTTCGGCATCGTCTCCTCCCTGGTGGGGGTGGTGCGCATTGGCCTGGCGGGCGAGGAGGCGCACGCCCTGGACAAGGACTTCCAGTTGGTGCACGGCAAGCTGGAGAGCATCTCTGCGAAGAACCGCCAGTGCCTGCGGCAGATCCGTGTGGACGAGGTCAATGAGACATTCGGTAAGTACGAGGAGTACATCAAGCACCAGTACGCCGCCTTCAACTCCATGGTGACACTGGTGAGGAAGGACCCAGAGGGAGCGCGGCGCCACATGGCCGACTTCGAGTGGGTCTATGAGAGGGACAAGAGCGACCTGAGCCTGGACGTGTACTACCGGGGCGTCATGGGCACCGGGTCGGTGTTCGGAAGGCCCCTGCTGAAGGTGTACCTGGAGCACTGCGACGGAGACCGCAGGGTCATGGAGCACCGGTGCTCCCACCTGGGACACCTGTTCCACATCGGCCTGATCGCCCTCATGGCCTACACAGCGGTGACAGAGGACGACGAGGAGGAGGTGCGGGAGAAGTGGGCCAAGCGCGTGGAGGACATCCAAGCCAAGATGCAGGAGGTTTTGAGTCAGTGCAAAGAGGAGGAGGAGAGGAGTCCTCCCTAAAGCTTGGGGAAGGGGAGAGGTGGCAGCCCTGTCCATAAACTACCCTTACTCCCAGTCCTGGAGTGCTACTGGGTGTGTAGTATGTCCTGGGTGTTCCTGCCCTGCTCTAATCCATCCAATTCTACTAATCAGCTGCTTATCATGGGCCTAATTAGCTAAACCAGGTATGTTAGAGCAGGGATGGAATAAAAGCCTGCAGACCCAGTAGCTATCCAGGAGGAAGGATGGCCACCCCTGCTCTGACTCATTTTTAGAACTAGATAGGTACAAGCAATATGGCTGTAGCTCCACCTTGCCCTTGGTGGAATTTTTTGCCAAATATTGCTTAGACCTGTCCAACTTATTCTGATCAAAACAAGTGCCAAGGGGTAGGGGCTAGGGGTTGATTCTCGACAGGGCCAGCGATTTGAAGGGAGTTTGGGTGGGTGAGAAGTGGAGTTTGGTGGTTAAAACTGTGGAGAAGAGGTTTGTTCCCACTTTCTCAGCAACCAGACTCATTCAAGTGGACCAAGTAAAGCAAGGAAATCATATATTATGAATAGATGGGAAACCAAATTCACAGTAAAAGCAATCAAATGTATTTTACTCTGTGCATGTCATTTATTTGGGTCAACTAAATTATGTTGTTGTGGCAATAGTTCCTAGTTTGAACAGCTGCCTTATATTAGGCTACCTGCCAATACGTTCTCTGACTGTCTGTTAATGTTTTTTACACTGTCTTCAATAAACAAGTCAATGATGACCCATATTACAGTATGTACAATAATCATTTGACTGAAACACTAGTCTCTCTTTCTCTCTCTCTGAATTATAGAGCACTGCCCCTATTAGTTATATTGACCTGACGCATTATTAAACATTAGCAGATGTCACAAAGTGCTTATACAGAAACCCAGCCTAAAACCCCAAACGGCAAGCAATGCAGATGTAGAGGCACGGTGCCTAGGAAAAACTCCCTAGAAAGACAGGAACCTACAAAGAAACCTAGAGAGGACCAGGCTCTGAGGGGTGGCCAGTCCTTTTCAGGCTGTGCCGGGTGGATATTATAAGAGTACATGGCCATTAAGGCCAGATCATTCTTCAAGATGTTCAAACGTTCATAGATGACCAGCAGGGTCAAATAATAATCACAGTGGTTGTAGAGGGTGCAACAGGTCAGCACCTCAGGAGTAAATGTCAGTTGGCTTTTCATAGCCAAGCATTCAGAGGTTGAGACAGCAGGTGCATCAGAGAGGGAGAGAGAGGGTCGAAAGCAGCAGGTCCGGGACAAGGTAGCATAACAGGTCAGCGTTCCATAGCCACAGACAAAACAGCAGAAACTGGATCAGCAGCACGACTAGGTGGACTGAGGACGGGGACAGCCAGGAGTCATCGGGCCAGGTAGTCCTGAGACATGGTCCTAGGGCTCATGTCCTCCGGGAGGGGGGAGAGAGAGAGAGAGAGAGAGAGAGATGGGAGAATTAGAGGGAGCATACACAGGACACCAGATAACAGCAGGAGAATTTCACCAGGTAGGACAGACTGACCCTAGCCCCCCGGCACATAGACTATTGCAGCATAGCTACTGGAGGCTGAGACTGGGTCGGGGGACACTGTGGCCCTGTCCGACGATACCCCCGGACAGGGCCAACAAGGCAGAATATAACCCCACCCACTTTGCCAAAGCACAGCCCCTACACCACTAGAGGGATATCAACAGACCACCAACGTACTACTAATAATAATAATATGCCATTTAGCAGACGCTTTTATCCAAAGCGACTTACAGTCATGTGCGCATAAATTTTTACGTATAGGTGGTCCCGGGGATCAAACATTTTTACATTTTTTTTTACATTTTTAGTCATTTAGCAGACGCTCTTATCCAGAGCGACTTACAGTTAGTGAATACATTTTTTTTTTTTTTTTTTTTTTTTATACTGGCCCCCCGTGGGAATCAAACCCACAACCCTGGCGTTGCAAACGCCATGCTCTATCAACTGAGCTACATTCCCTCCCCTACCCTGCCGGCCATTCCCTCCCCTACCCTGGACGACGCTGGGCCAATTGTGCGCCGCCCATGAGTCTCCCGGTCACGGCCGGCTGCGACAGAGCCTGGATTCGAACCAGGATCTCTAGTGGCACAGTTAGCACTGCGATGCAGTGCCTTAGACCACTGCGCCACTCAGGAGTTAAACCCACTACCCTGCCGTTACAAGCAACATGCTCTACCAATTGAGCTACAGAGGACCACCTCGAGACCCTGAGACAAGGCTGAGTATAGCCCACAAAGATCTCCTCCACCACACGAGCCCGAGGGAGCGCACAACCAAACAGGAAGATCATGTCAGTGACTCATCCCACTCAAATCGAGTATAACAAAAAAAGCCTGACATGACATGACATAATAAAACACTTGTTAGCGGAATTACATTTGGGGAAATCGGGTCTAGACTTCATATTCCTTATCTATTATTATTATTATTATTATTATCATTAAATAGCCTACCTAAAATATGTAATGAGTCTTGTTAAACTAGGTTGCAGGACATTAGCTTCAAAACACAAATCGTCCTAGGTCCCTCAAATTAAACAAAATCAAATTTTCAAATGTGAAAAGAGGGCCTTGTGGGGGGAAAAAAGGTTGGGAACCCCTGCCATACATAACCTGAAACTAGCAAAAGTGTACCTGGAATTGACTATTTAATATACAAATATTTTGAAACATGCCCATACTCACAATTTATACCAGGATTGCCTGAATGCAATACAAATGAATTCAGAACTAAAGTTATGAGTCAAAAGTCACTTGGCCTTATTTTATACCAAAGCAAATTACTTTCCCATCCGATTTGATTTCTGTATAATTGATTTCCATCTGTCTACATTTTCAGAAGAAAAAATATGCGCACTAAGTCCACCCGACCAGCAGAGTTCCCTGTTGTCAAAACGAGTCCGTCTAGGCGTAATGTGACTCTTGTCCATTTCGCTTGCTGTGGTCGGCAACCGATGTTATGCTTTTAGGAAACTCACAAATATCTGCCTAGAAGTTTGCCTAGCTTATTGATACTGCGTGTCTATGCCTTATTACACCCAGGAAAATGAAAACACCGATAATGTATACTTTTTAAAGTTTGTGATAGATCATAATTTCAGGTATGTTTGAAAGCGTTTCTCAAAATGTAACAGTGCGATACCTAAGCCTTTCGTTAAGTTATCTGACGTAAAGTTTCACATCTACTTCAAAGGACACAATGTAGCTTTACTGAAAATTCGTGCCGCATAGTACTTTTCATGTTGTATTTTATAATGTATGTGATGATATCAATAGTCTTCTACAGGAAGGCAACCGTATGCTTGGTTTCCGGGGCGTGACTTTTGTTGTGACATAATAACTTTAGACTTTTGAACGCGATCAAATTTGCCTTTTGAAAAGATTTTCGCCCAAATAGTTTTACTATCATTATGCTATTTCATTTTAATGCATTAACGTAACAGCCTATGTGATCGTAGAGATTATTAAGTAATTTATTACAAGTTAACAATTTAAAAGTCTTATCTTTTCAAGATTGATCCGTGATGAGAACCATATAATGTGTAATAGCCTAGCCTTCTTTTAAATAGTTAAAAGACATAGATTATGAATATAATATTCACGTTTTGCTGGCTCCCAATTAGATTCTGATTTATTATTTGTAACATTTCAGGCATGGTGCTCCTCACCTTCCTCATAACTCGGTCCTTGTGTAGGATGCTTGAAAGGGATTGAAGGCAAGTCAACGCCATGGGCAACCACGACAACTTTGAAGATGTGTTTGTTGCTGTCATTCGTCCAAAGAATAAAGTCAGTCTGAGCTCTAAGGAATATCGGGCTAAAGCCTATGAGGTAAGACTACGATATATGTCATATTATACAGTAGCGACCGTGCAACACCTAGCGACCTCATCCAGAGGTTAGGATATCTTTGCATAACCGCAAGGGGTTGGACTGACAGTCGCAGGGTGCTGTGTTTGAGTCCCAGTCTGGGCTACCCCCTGAATTTGTTACATTGGTTTCACAAGTGGGATACACATTTCGTATACATGTTTAAGTAATACTGCGAGTAGCAGACTATGGTTACTGCAAAGTGGCAACGCCTTTATTAATAAATTGAGTGTAAGGACGCTCCGTTTTGGACAGCTCCCTGGAAGTGCATAGTTCTGGCTTGTGCCATATTACCATATCAGCCACCCCAAATCTGCTTCAGTATCATTTTACTTTAACCCAAATATTGTTAATGGCAAATTACAATTATTTAGCTTATGGTTTGATTTCATAGATGTATTTCTAGTTCAGTTTATGTTCACCAGTGACATCATGTGTAACCCTGTTACCCCTCCTTTAGATCCTGTTGATAGAACTTCCTTTGGAAGGAAAAGAGAAGAAACAGAAGAAAATCTTACTGGCGACCAAAATCCAAGCCAATGGGGACACAGCCAGATCCATTTTAGATTATGTAGACAAAACAACAAAACCCATATCTAACAACCAGGGTTTTATTGGTAAATGAATACATATTTGTTGCTTTTCTGTAATTATGGTGGCTTTCCAGATTTGGATGTGAATCCTTTGTTAATGTAAAATATTTATGAAGAGTAGAAAGACATTTCAAATAACAAACTGTGTCAAAGCGCTGATCCTGTTGCTCATCACAGGAAAGCGTGTGGTGCACATGAACAAATTCCCTCTCGATGTTGACAATGAAGGGAAAGAGGTCTCCCTCGTTATTGTGCCAATCAATGTCAAAGGTAGGACTTGACACTAACTTGTCAGCACATAACATAAATGTGTTATAAATTATTAGAAATGGTATAAATGCTCAATAATTAAATACAGTAGGGTCCGGAGATATTGGATCCCTTGATAAAGATAAGCAAAAAGAGACTATAAAATGAATAATGCAAATACTGAGCTATATTGTATGCAAAAAAAAGAGGAACAGTTATATTTTATACTAATACAAATTGCTCAGATAAATAGATTTTGTTTTAAAAAGAATCTCAAAGATGGGGTCAAAATGATTGGATCTGCTGTTTTCAATACTCCAGCACCCTCCCCTTGCGAGGATCATGACACTGGGCCTTTTTCTAAAATGTTTTATGAGATTGGAGAACACATTGGGAGGGATATTAGACCATTCCTCCATACAGAATCTTTCCAGATCCTAGATATCCTTAGTCTGCGCTTATGGACTGCCCTCTTCAATTCAAATCACAGGTTTTCAATGGGGTTCAATTCCGGAGAATAAGATGGCCATTGCAAAATGTTGATTTTGTGATCAATTAACAATTTCTTTGTGGATTTTGATGTGTGCTTGGGGTTATTGTTCTTGCTGGAAGATCCACTTGCGGCCAAGTTTCAGCCTCCTGGCAGAGGCAACCATTTTTGGGCTAAAATGTCCTGGTACTTGGTAGTTCATGATGGAAGTTCATGATGCCGTTGACCTTAACAAGGACACAATAGCCCCATAACATCAAAGATCCACCACCGTATTTAAGAGTTAGGATGAGGTATTTTCTGTATATGCATTGTTCTTTCGAAGGCCAAACCCAACCCTGGTGTGCGTGGCCAAAGACCTCTATTTTCATGTCATATGACCAAGTTCAGGAGGCTGAAACTTGTCCGCAAGTTGATCTTCCAGCAAGACGATAACCCCAAGCACGCATCAAAATCCAATAATTTGTATTTATTTATTATTTGTTAAACAGATATTGTATTAGCAATTGTATTAGTATAAAATAATATAATATTTTCATTTTTTTAGCATACAATATAGCTCAGTATTTGTATTATTTAACACTATACAATATTTGTATTTTTTGCTCATCTTTATTGAGGGATACAATAACTCCGGACCCCACTGTAAGTGAAAGAGTGTTAGTCCACTTGTGTCTGGGGTACTTTTAAAGCATTCATTACAATAATTCCTAATAATATAGTTTAGCTAACAATGTTTTATATTGTTGTGTGCTGCTTATTGGTCTTTCTGAACAGATAACAGCAAGCCTATCTACAGCCCTGGGAGCCCCAGTTTTTACTGCCTGCAGGATATCATGCGTGTGTGTAGCGAGACCAGTGCTCACTTCTCCCCCATCACCTCAAAGATGCTCCTGGCCTTGGACAAGTAAGTCTTTGTCTAGGATTTCATATTGAAGTCATTTAGCAGGCACCCTGATCCAGTGTGACTTACTGTTTTTGCTGTGTATCAGAGAGCTGAAGTGTATATGGTAGCTTCACTTACTGTACCATCTGCATGGCTGTTGTATTATTGCCACCTCGGGGTCGATAGGTAGCCCAGAGGTTAGCGAGGTGGACCGGTAACAGGAAGGTTGTTGGTTTAATTCCCGGCTGGACGATGAAAAAAGTGGGGAACTAGATTGGTTACTGGAGGGCTGCTGGTTTCAGATCATTACTTCTATCCACTACTGTTGTGCCCTTGAGCAAGGCACTTAACCCCGCTGCACTGCGACTGTTGTGCTGCTTCCAGCTTCCCGTGAGAGTGTGGTGTCCGGGGGGTTGGGATTGGGAATAACATAAGATATTTAAAGCGATTTATAGTGCAGTGAATGACACATAGTAGATAATTCACCCACCATAGAGACATTGGTAAGCCTTACCAGAACGTCACCTACTAAACCTTGACCTTTGAACTTGTATCTTCTACATGCCCTATCCAGGTGGCTGGCAGAGCAGCACACCATGCCTCACGCCATTCCAGCTCTGTTCCGGCCCGCGCCGGCGGACCGAGTCAAGACCAACGTGAGTAACCCTGCCTACATCAGCGAAGGCAAACCCATTGACGGGGGTTTGCACATGGGTTACACTGCCTTGGAGATCAAGAGCAAGATGCTGTCACTGGAGAAGGTTGACATGTGCATTCAGAACCCTCTCTACGGATCAGACCTGCAGTATACCAACCGGGTGAGAGCCCTTTGCCCAGATACAATTTTTTTCCAATCCTTACCCTCTCCCGAGGGACGACTTACAAGACAGTTCACATTTTTGTTTTAGCCCTGCACTGACAAACTTTTATTTTAAACAAAAAATACTTTGTATCATTATCAAAATATATGAACATAAACTAAAGTGTCTACGTATCCTCTCTATTTTTGCAATTTTTAGGTGGACAAAGTTATTATCAACCCTTACTTTGGCCTTGGTGCTCCAGATTACTCTAAAATCCAGATCCCTAAGAGAGAAAAGTGGCAGCACGGCTCTAACAGTGTGACAGAGGACAAGTGAGTGAGCGTCCCAAAATGTTACTTCAAAACAACTTCATGCATTCTCCAGACCAGGGTTCAAATAGTATTTGTTTTCCTTCAAATAGTTTGAGCATGTCTTTAGTGCCAAATGGGTGACATTTGCACATTTGGGAGTATTCCATTGGTTCCATTGCACCAGGCAATCTTAATCTAGCCCAATTCAGTCTGGCATTCTCTGGAGTTTGGGCCTTTTCAAATGCCTCATTACATTGTGAAGTCAGTGATTGAACAGGGCCTATTCTCTGTCTCCTCCCTAGGGAGCGCCAGTGGGTGGATGACTTCCCCCTCCACCGCAGTGCCTGTGAAGGCGACACAGAGCTGCTCACCAAGCTCCTGGAAAGTGGCTTCTCAGTCAAACAGCTGGACAGTGACCACTGGGCCCCCATCCACTACGCCTGCTGGTACGTCTCATATGAGGGATGTTGTGTTTTAGCACAGCTGTACACTAAAACAAGATTGTAAACCAATTCCCTAAAGAAAATTAGTCCTCTAAGGACAATAAAGTTGATATTCTATTTTTTTAATCGAACAGCTAACGTCAAATAAGAGTAAAATGTATGTGTTGTTTTGAATGTAGGTATGGTAAAGTGGAGGCGACCAAGCTACTGCTGGAGAAGGGAAACTGTAACCCCAACCTGCTGAATGGCCATCTGAGCTCCCCGCTGCACTTTGCTGCAGGAGGGGGCCACTCAGAGATAGTACAGCTTCTGCTCCAGCATCCTGAGATAGACCGGGTAAGACTGAGACAGGGTTGGATGGGGGGGGGTTATGACTAGGGTTAGGGTTGAGCCAGGGTGTGGACATGAAGCTAGGGTTAGGGTTGAGCCGGGGTGTGGACATAAAGCTAGGGTTAGGGTTGAGCCGGGGTGTGGACATGAAGCTAGGGTTAGGGTTGAGCCAGGGTGTGGACAAGAGGAAAGTGTGGAGAGACAGCAGAAGACAGTCAGCATGGCTTAACCCTAATCCTAACATGTTTGAATTCCCAATTCAACCACTAAATGTGCTGGAATAAAAGCCTGCACACCGAGTAGCTCTACAAGACCTGAATTGGAGAAGCCTGGTTGAATACAGTATATCCTCCATCCTATTTGCATAATGGCCACATACTGTGCTGGTACCAGTGGAACATCCTAGCTTAGGACTTCAATATGTTGCCAGTAGTAAGTAGCAGTAAGAAAGTAACTTTGCTTGCTTGTTTTTGTTTTTATCAGCACATAGAGGATCAGCAAATGAGATCGCCCCTGCAAATCTGTGAAGAGAACAAGCAGAACGAATGGGAGGAGACAGTGAAACTTCTACAGCAAGCCAATAACAAACCAGTGAGTGTGAAGTGTGTGTGCGTCTGTGTGTGTGCGTGCGCACATGCGCGTGTGCATGTATGCTACTCCAACAGACTTGTCAAATACTTTTATTACGTTTAGAAATTGACAAAAATGGTGTGTTCGTTCCGCAGTACGAGAAGGTGCGCATCTACCGCATGGACGGCTCGTACCGCTCGGTGGAGCTGAAGCACGGCAACAACACATCAGTGCAGCAGATCATGGAGGGCATGCGGCTCTCCAAGGACACCCAGCAGTACTTCACCATCTGGATCTGCTCCGAGAACCTCAGTGAGTCACACATACACTGATCCAAAATGGCCGCCCAATATCTAGGCTTAGGTAGTATGTCCTTGTATCTGTAGTATCTTATTTCCAGGCCACCTGTGCTTATTATACCCTTTGTGTGTTTCTGTGTCTTGTCTTCCATCAGACCTGCAGCTGAAGCCCTACCACAAGCCCCTGCAGCACCTGCGTATCTGGACAGAGATCGTCACTGACCTCACTGTCCTGGACCCCCAGAGGGAGAACCCACAGCTCTTCCTCCGTAGAGATGTCCGTCTGCCCCTCGACATTGAGAAAAAGGTTTGTAACCAATTTGATTTTGATCAACTTTATTATCCAGTTGGGGAAATTCTTCTTGCAATTCTTCTTGCAGTGCTGCATCTGTAAAGCAAGGATTTTGGATTTTGAATATTGATTAGATCAGTGTTTCTCAACTCTGGTTAAGTGAGACCCAGAGGGTGTACATACTTCCAGCCCAGTAATAATACACCTGATTTAAACTGATCATGGGTTTGCTGTTCAAGTTCATTTATTAATTAATTAATTAATCCATCCATGATTGGCTTGAATCTTCTTCCCCAGATTGAGGACCCCCTGTCCATCCTGATCCTGTTTGACGAGGCCAGACACTGCCTCCTCAAGGGCTTCTTCCCCTCCCTAGACAGCAAGCTGATCACCCTGGCCAGCTTGCTGCTGCAAATCATCTACGGAAACTATGAGAGCAAGAAGCACAAGCAGGGTTTCCTTAAGTAAATATCTTAAATCGGTCCCTGAATTGAATTAATCTAGCATAATACTCTTCTTTAAAACTGGTGAAATCTTGGTATGATATTCAAAGATAAGGTACAGTACATAAACCTGTGGTAATATGATATACTATTGACATAACCGTAAATGTTTTGTTTTCAACAGTGAGGAAAACCTGAAATCTATTGTCCCGATATCCAAGGTGAAAAGCAAAGCGCATCATTGGACAAACCGGATTCTTCATGAGTATAAGGTCAGGTTTATTTTCATTATTTAGTTTTTGCGTAATATACATTTATATCTGTGGGGTCAAACTCTTACCCTTACTTCACCTTATCCGCCAACAGAGCCTCAGTATGAGTGAGGGTGTGAGCAAAGAGATGCACCACCTCCAGAGGCTCTTCCTGCAGAACTGCTGGGACATCCCAACATATGGTGCTGCCTTTTTCACGGGCCAGGTCTTCACCAAGGCTAGCTCCAGCAACCACAAAGTCATCCGCGTCTTCGTGGGTGTCAACACCAAGGGCCTGCACCTCATGAACATGGAGACCAAGGTGCCCCGGGGCTATTTGTTTGTTGGGACCAGAGCCATATGTATACAGAGAGAACCTTATTTAACCATGCAGTATACAGAATACTGTAGTATACTAAGACGCATGAAACATACTTTAGAAACATACTTAAGCTGAATGCACCGAGCTGTGTTTAAACTACTAGCACACAGCTCAGACACCCATGCATACCCCACAAGACATGCCACCAGAGGTCTCTTCAAAATCCCCAAGTCCAGAACAGACTATGGGAGGCGCACAGTACTGCATAGAGCCATGACTACATGGAACTAGTCCACATCAGGTAACTGATGCAAGCAGTAGAATCAGATTTAAAAAACTGATAAAAATACACCTTATGGAATAGCGGGGACTGTGAAGAGATACACACACAGGAACAGACGCACGCATACGCACGCATACGCACACGTACATTGTAATATTGTTGTATGGTGGTATTATACATTTTGTATTAGAGATACAGTACCAGTCAAAAGTTTGGACACACCTACTCATTCAAGGGTTATTATTTATTTTTACTATTGTCTACCAAGAGTGTGCAAAGCTGTCATCAAGGCAAAGGGTGACTATTTGAAGAATCTCAAATATAAAATATATTTTGATTTGTTTAACACTTTTTTTGGTTACTACATGATTCCATATGCGTTATTTCATAGTTTTGATGTCTTCACTATTATTCTATAATGTAAAAAATAAAGAAAAACCCTTGAATGAGTATGTGTGTCCAAACTTTTGACTGGTAGTGTATGTAGTGGTGTAATAATGTTATGATGTACTGTTTTATCTTTTGTTTTATATGTAATGCAAGTGCCTTAATGTGTTTGGACCCCAGGAAGAGTAGCTGCTGCCTTGGCAGCAGCTAATGGGGATCCCTAATAAATACAAATACATTCTTATCTACTGGTCACAAAGTAAGCATGGATGTAAATATCTAAGCATAGAAAATACGCCTCAAAAGTATCCATTTTAAAAGCTTTGTATATTTTGTATGTTTTCATGTAAATGCCCTCTTTTACTGATACTTGTGCATATGTTCTACTGTGTATCTGTAGGTCCTTCTTATCAGTCTGGAGTATGGCTCTTTCATGTGGCAGCTAGGGCACGCTGATCAGTATTTACAGATTCACAGTCTGGAAAACAAGATGAACTTCATTGTCCACACCAAACAGGTAACTATAGGACCTTACCCAAGTCATTACAATGGATGTACCTGTGATTAAGTTGAATCAATGTGTTGTAGCCTGGGCAGATTGTATGATTTGTAGCGTACAGCTCTAGCTCTAACTGAAGAGTTTAATCTGGGCAATATTACATGAAATTGCTTATTCATGTGCTCCTTCTCTTCTTTTCTCAATAGGCTGGCCTTATTGTTAAACTGTTAATGAAGTTGAGTGGACAAATGACTCCGAATGACAGAAGTTTAACAGACAAGTATGCATATGGTTGACTCCCCTTCAAAGACAATATTATTCCCATGTACTTTTTTTGTCGGTTGCTTTGCTTTCTTGTACTGGACCATTGCTTTTTTTGAGGAAAAAGTATTTTCACCAAAAACGTTTCACATTTTGTTTATTTGATATTCTGATTTCTGTAACGTTTTCAAATTATTACATGCTGTAATTTTTCATGGTTGTAAATAACGTGTATTTAATGGTTCATTTTAATAAAATGAATAATTATGAGTGTGAGTAATTCCTTCTGTTTTGCTGAAAATACAAGTCTGTCTTATGAACATACTTTTTTTTAAATCTGTGCATTCGGTGCAAAGCAAAGATACATTAATTTGGCTTAATAAATTACAGTCGATCTCAAATAGTCAATTAAAATAGTGTGGTGCAGTGTGGTGCCAGAACAACAACCTCTCCCTCAACATGGGCAAAACAAAGGAGCTTATCGTGGAATACAGGAAACGGAGGGCTGGACACGCCCCCATTCACATCGACGGGTCTGTAGTGGAGCGGGTCGAGGGCTTCAAGTTAATCTGTGTCCACATCACTAAGGACTTATCATAGTCCAAACACACCAACACAGTCGTGAAGAGGGCATGACAACGCTTCTTCCCCCTCAGGAGGCTGAAAGGTTTGGGCATGGGCCCTCAGATCCTCAAAAAGTTATACAGCTGCACCATTGAGAGCATCTTCACTGGCTACATCACCGCTTGGTATGGCAACTGCTCGGCATCCGACCGCAAGGCGCTACAGAGGGTAGTGCGCATGGCCCAGTACATCACTGGGGCCAAACTCCCTGCCATCCAGGACCTCTATACCACGCAGTGTCAGAGGAAGGCCCTAGAAATTATCAAAGACTACAGCCACCCAAGCCATTGACTGTTAGCTCTGCTACCACATGGCAAGCGGTACCGGAGCGCCAAGTCTGGGACCAAAAGGCTCCTGAACAGCTTCTACCCCTAAGCCACAAGACTGCTGAACAGTTAATAAAATGGCTACCTGGACTATTTACATTGACCCCCTTTACTGTATATATACATATTTTTTGTATATCTTAATTTTTTGCACTGACTCTCTTGCACTGGCTCTATGCACACTCACTATATTCTACCCACACACTCCAACACACACACACACACCAGAGAAGGCTGTGCCAATCAGACCCTTACTAAAAAAGGATTGCAGTCAGAGTGTAGTATAACTGCAGTATACTGCAAATATTGCGTCCAAAATAACCCTTTATTTATTTATTTTTTACTACAGTAATTTTGCATTAACTGCAGATACAGTGCAGTACACTGCAGTTATTCTGCAATTACTGCATCCAAAATACCACAGTCGACTGCAGTTACTGCACTTTTACAGCAGTTTCAAAACTGCAATCTTTTTTTTGTAAGGGGAGGGTGAATGGGCAAGACAAAATATTTAAGTGCCTTTGAACAGGGTATGGTAGTGTCAAGAACTGCTGCTGGGTTTTTCACACTCAACAGTTTCTTGTGTGTATCAAGAACGGTCAACCACCCAAAGGACATCCAGAGAACTTGACACAACTGTGGGAAGCGTTGGAGTCAACATGGGCCAGCATCCCTGTGGAACTTTTTCGACACCTTGTAGAGTCCATGTCCCAACGAATTCAGGCTGTTCTGAGGGAAATACTGAGTGCAACTCAATATTAGGAAGGTGCTCTTAATGTTTTGTAAACTAAGATCCTGAATGCCTGCTTGCCAAATCACTTTTACCCCTATGTACATGCTGAATTACCTTACCTACCTCCTATCCCTGCACATTGACTAGGTACTGGTACTCCTTGTATATAGCCTAGTTATTGTTATTTTATTGTGTTACTATTTCCTTTTTTATTTAGCAAATATTTTTCTTACTTTTTAACTCAGCATTTTTGGGAATGGGCTCGTAGGTAAGCATTTCACGGTAAAGTCTACACCTGTTGTATTCGGCGCATGTGACCAATACAATTTTATTTGAAAATGTAATGTCATAAATCAGACCAAGGACTGGCAACGGTAACAAGCAGCAGCTGCCACATGAGGGCACTCTGCTCAAATACATTACTTATCTTGTCCACAGTACGTTCATTTCAAATCACATGAGAAAAATATAAAAAGACGCCGTTGATAAAGTTGTATTAAAACTTTAAAAAGAATGTGCAATTAATTGAATTGAGTAATAAGACATACGATGCAAGGCAACAAGACATTCTGCACGATTGGCATACTTCTAAGAACGAGGAGAGGAAATTTAATTGTTTACATTATGTAACCATGGTAGCCCTGTTGCGTAGCCTGCTGACAGCTCCTGTATCACTGAAAGTCAGTCAAATTGAGTTAATTTATATGGCCATTATTTTGTGGTAAAGATAGATGGTTAAAACCAAATGCGAAATTAGTTTGGCCGTCATACTTCGAATCTTGCCAGCCAGGAGACAGCTTGAACGTTACATTATAACATCACTCAGCAAGTGGTGTAGCCAGTGGCGACCTTTATATACAGTGGGGAAAATTTTTATTTAGTCAGCCACCAATTGTGCAAGTTCTCCCACTTAAAAAGATGAGAGAGGCCTGTAATTTTCATCATAGGTACACGTCAACTATGACAGACAAAATGAGAAAAAAAAATCCAGAAAGTCACATTGTAGGATTTTTAATGAATTTATTTGCAAATTATGGTGGACAATAAGTATTTGGTCAATAACAAAAGTTTCTCAATACTTTGTTATATACCTTTTGTTGGCAATGACACAGGTCAAACGTTTTCTGTAAGTCTTCACAAGGTTTTCACACACTGTTGCTGGTATTTTGGCCCATTCCTCCATGCAGATCTCCTCTAGAGCAGTGATGTTTTGGGGCTGTCGCTGGCCAACACAGACTTTCAACTCCCTCCAAAGATTTTCTATGTGGTTGAGATCTGACTGGCAAGGCCACTCCAGGACCTTGAAATGCTTCTTACGAAGCCACTCCTTCGTTGTCCGGGCGGTGTGTTTGGGATCATTGTCATGCTGAAAGACCCAGCCACGTTTCATCTTCAATGCCCTTGCTGATGGAAGGAGGTTTTCACTCAAAATCTCACGATACATGGCCCCATTCATTCTTTCCTTTACACGGATCAGTCGTCCTGGTCCCTTTGCAGAAAAACAGCCCCAAAGCATGATGTTTCCACCCCCATGCTTCACAGTAGGTATGGTGTTCTTTGGATGCAACTCAGCATTCTTTGTCCTCCAAACACGACGAGTTGAGTTTTTACCAAAAAGTTCTATTTTGGTTTCATCTGACCATATGACATTCTCCCAATCCTCTTCTGGATCATCCAAATGCACTCTAGCAAACTTCAGACGGGCCTGGACATGTACTGGCTTAAGCAGGGGGACACATCTGGCACTGCAGGATTTGAGTCCCTGGCGGCGTAGTGTGTTACTGATGGTAGGCTTTGTTACTTTGGTCCCAGCACTCTGCAGGTCATTCACTAGGTCCCCCCGTGTGGTTCTGGGATTTTTGCTCACCGTTCTTGCGATAATTTTGACCCCACGGTGTGAGATCTTGCGTGGAGCCCCAGATCGAGGGAGATTATCAGTGGTCTTGTATGTCTTCCATTTCCTAATAATTGCTCCCACAGTTGATTTCTTCAAACCAAGCTGCTTACCTATTGCAGATTCAGTGTTCCCAGCCTGGTGCAGGTCTACAATTTTGTTTCTGGTGTCCTTTGACAACTCTTTGGTCTTGGCCATAGTGGAGTTTGGAGTGTGACTGTTTGAGGTTGTGGACAGGTGTCTTTTATACTGATAACAAGTTCAAACAGGTGCCATTAATACAGGTAACGAGTGGAGGACAGAGGAGCCTCCAAGAAATCTTGCTTGTTTGTAGGTGACCAAATACTTATTTTCCACCATAATTTGCAAATAAATTCATTGAAAATCCTACAATGTGATTTTCTGGATTTTTTTTTCTCAATTTGTCTGTCATAGTTGACTTGTACCAATGATGAAAATTACAGGCCTCTCTCATCTTTTTAAGTGGGAGAACTTGCACAATTGGTGGCTGACTAAATACTTTTTTCCCCCACTGTATATATACACATTATATATATATATATATATATATATATATATATAATGTGTGTGCCTGTTTTGCATGTTATTTTGGCATTAATACGTGTCACATATCAGTTTGCAAACAATGTAAAAAATAAATAAATAATTGAGTTAATAAAGTCGAATACAAAAAAGACCTGTGTTCGAATACATTTTACATTTACATTTTAGTCATTTAGCAGACGCTCTTATCCAGAGTGACTTACAGTTTAGTGAGTGCATACATTTTTCATACTGCACTAACCCTACTATTTGTGACGTGAATTGAGTATATAGTCTACTTATTGGTCATAGTATGGATATAGTTAGTATACCAAAAGTTCCCGGATGTGGTACTAAATTCGCCAAAATACAAAGTATACATGCAGAGGACACTATTTCCTTATTTTAGGGCCCATAATGCAATTCTTCAGAAAATGGGCGTGGCTTCACAACGTTTGCAGAAGAAAATGTGGAAAATATGCAGACGAAGTCCGACGAGAGCGGATACAGATTCATTGCTTTAACTAATTATGACAAATGTTAAGAAATTTGATAAAGTAATTACTTTTCAAATAAGTTACGTTACAAGTTATGTTGGCTGACAATTTGTTAGCTACGCTATCCTTACGAACCGCATAGCATTACAGCAGTATGTTAGCTAGTTACCTAACGTAAATTGACTACTAATACATCGAACTTACCAGGCAGTATATTAACTATCTGCTATCTAACTAACTACCCAACGT